GATACTGATCATCTTGGCATCCAACAGAATACCACATTGATCAACTACTTTGATGAAATCATGATAATTGGATCCGATGAGTAGAAAGCATGTAACTTAGCTGTCTTAACTAGATGTATGTATTATATCAGGCAAGCTATAGCCCAGTGGTGAGATCTGGCCTACTCTCTGTTTTTGTAAAGCTCCATTGGAACACAGACACACTATTTATGCTTCTGTCTTGTTACTATGTCAGAGTTGCACAAAATAGATCGTATGGTCCACAAAGCCTAAAATATTTACCATCTGGTCCTTTACAGGGATAACTTTTGCAGAGCCCTGTCCTAGAGGAAAGTGTGGGAGAGTGATAGGATTTGAAAACAGGCAAGCACATTGTTAACTAAAAGGAACAGAACCTTATTCCCTTATCCTCAAACTATGGTGAATAATAAAGAATTTAGGTCAAGGGAGCATTATCTTGAGATTTACTTTTTAGGAAGATCATTTTTTATGTAAATCCTCAAGTGCACAATGCCCATATACTCAGGCATTTCTAAAGCAGAAATAGGATCATGACTGGTTGACTGAATTAGGGAATAAATTCCAAAGAATGAAGGCAGCTTGAGGTAGCTCATGTCACAAATGCTTCTCAGATTTATTGAGCTCCTGTGTCTTACCTTGTACTATCCTAAAAACTTGGGATAAAAGTATGTAAAATATCCTGGACCCAGGAGAAGTTCACAGCCCACAGAAAAAGTAGACAAGTAAATAATTATATGATTATAACACTATGTATTAAATGTAATAAAAAATATATCTCAATGTTTTAACAGTGATTACCACTGAGTAAAATTATGATTAGTCCTTAAACTTTTTTACTGGTTTATTTCTTGAACTTTCAGCAAAGGCATTTAAAAAGGAAATTTACATAGATAAAATTTATGCAGAGAGGCCCAATCTTATATCTACAAAAGGCAAGCAGAACAGTACTCAGGGACTAGCAGAAGTATGACAGCCTAAGTAGGTGGTGACTTCAATTAGCAAGCTGTTTCTGACTTTCTCTAGCAAATGTTTCATAGCCGCAGGTTGGGAAATTGAAACTTTGAAGTGAACTATCTAGCCCATCTCTAGATCCCTCTTTTGGGACTTTGGTGTAATCAAAGTTGTTAGAATTGGGGCACAAAGGAAGATTGACTTGGGCCTGAGTCCTATGTGACTCCTTGTGCACCCCTAGATTATTGAGTTGAATCTTAAATGGTGGGCAAATGCTATTGGTGAAAGCATGAGGAAGCTGTCTATGAGTAACTACTAATAAAGTGTGCAGGAACAGGTGATGGATATTTTACCTGAGTATGTGATACAGGAGAAATATCACTCCATAAAGAAATTGATTTCAAAAATGAATACACAGTTAATGTGTCTACCAGAGTGATAAATTTTTTTTATTAAATGCCATACCTTCAGATGCTTTAGCATCCTTATGCTTTATTATTTGGTATATGCATAAATAACTCTCCTTCTAATGGGTGTACAGGATGGTACCTGATAGCTTCCTATGAGGATAAAGCCATCAGCCTAGTAGAAACATTCCAAAGGCGAGGGCAAGGAACCTCTATTTACCACATTCATTAATGCTAAGACATATTCTTTTTCACATTTTAACTTTTCTAAAGTTAGGTCCATCTTGCAATTAATGGTGTCATAGGTTTGATGAAATACTGTGTTTCTCCCTGACTCAAAGTATAAACTTGAAGGGTACAGTTGTACATCTAGTGCAGCATGGGAAATCCCAGAAAACCAGACATAAAGTTTATTGAAGATGACCCCAGATAGAGAATACGTGTTTCGCAAGAGAGAATAACATCTTATTAACTAATTCTGTATTTCCGTGTGGCAATGAACTGTTACATTATTTTGTGTTCAACATCTGTGTACAAATGCATGAGCCAAAAGTGAGTCATCTTCCCTGGTGAGGCACCCTTTCCTCCTGGGAGTGGGGAAGGGCACCACAGGGGTAGATCTTTCTGCACTAACAATGGAGCTCTTGTTGGTGGTACCAAATGCTGTAGCAGTTTTAATACCTTAGCTAAAATCTGGTAGTTGTTTTTTTCCTTTTAATACAAGAAGAAACTCCTGTTAGAACTAGTGTGAGTCATACATCATAAACATTCAGTGCTCAAATCCCTGTGGGTTTTGAATGGCAAACAACACTTAAAAATGTTCGCTTACGTTTTTAAGAACTGCAGTGTAGAATGCTAGGAAACATATGTTAAGCTCTCTTGTATTAAGTAATGCTCTAGTATTTTAAAAAATACATACTATAAAGTAAGCCATTCATAAATTCCAGCACGATGCCAGTTATGTTAAAATCTTGACTACGTCATTTAATGCTCATGCATAATTCTATTTCATTGTTTTAATCCAATAAGCAAAAAAGAAAAAAATGATTTCAGGAAAATATATTCAAAACACACGCATATACACAAATATTCACATGTATTTACATAACCACCGACCTAACAGATTTGGCCTCATTAAAAACACTGAGATTTCCAGTAAGTCAGAAATGTCTCCAAAACATGTAAGGATACATGAGACAAAGATGTTAGTGTGGATTTCAAACATCCATTAATGCAAAGCCAGAAAAACAATAATTTTGCATCTAAATCCTTGGTTGGCAAACCATAACTCTAGAATAATAAAGTTTCAGTTCAGTTATAATTAACAGGTTGCAGACTATTCATTCTAAAAGAAAATAACATTAACACTAGGCAACTTGACAGTAAAAATCAAAAGAGTATATTTATGGTAATCATCTTTAGCTGACACATGCAAAATTTAAGATAATTTTTTTCTTCCTCTTCAAATATTAAAGCAAAAAAACCCCTTTCATCAGATTCCATTGCAAAAAAATGAAATTCATCAAGGCCAAGGGGAGGCATCATTTTACATACCTTAATGAGTGCTAAATCAACGATATCTGCAATAGGTTCAGGGTATGTCTGTATACTTTGGGAAGTGGTTTTTGTGTTGCCCAGTGCCCTGTATTGGTCTGCTTACAACAGAGAACATTCTAAGAGAACTTTACTGAAGGGTAATTATTGTGAAACACAAAGTATATTCTCCATTTTTTCTAACACTCTGAAAACAAATACTGCCAGAAATGTGCTAAATAAATTCTCTCAGCACAGATTGGAATAAACAGTTGTTAGCATGTTTCAGTCTCGCCTCTTTGAGCTTAATAAGAAAACTCTTTGATCACACTGCCCCACTCTGGTCAAACAGAGAAAGTTAGGTTAGCCCTCGGAAAGAGTGTTCATAGCGCACACACACACACGCACACACACACACACACACACACACACACGCACGCACACTCTCTCTCTCTCTCTCTCTCTCTCTCTCTCTCTTTCTCTCTCTCTCGTATAAAGAATTAAAGGTTTAAACTTTCAAACAGGGTAGAGCATTCACACAGTATATAATTTAGCTGAAAATCTCAAGTAAATGCATTTTTTTGCCCCTTGAATTAACAATGTATGGGTAAATGCTATTGTTAATACTATTATTTCCCCCAAAATCTATTACAATTCTTATGAGATTAGAACAAAATATTATATTGATATGTAATGCCACTTGCTATATACAAATGTAAATTTACAAAGACCAGATTAATAAATTATTTCTACTAATTAAGATGAAAAAATTCAACATATGCTGCTAATAGAAAATACTGCTCTGTAATTTTTATAATTATTTTATCTAAAATAAACAGAACATTAAGGTTATTGAACTTCAAATGCCAAAAGGGTCAAAGTGATATTGTAAAGCAAGACTAAGAAATGTATAAATTCCTCACCACAGTAACTATTCACTCCAAAGTCTGCACATAGTGGTTGAGACAACAGTAATAATAATAATAGTGATGGAAGTTAACATTCATTAGCCACTTATTGTGTTAGATACACTAGTCTAAGATCTTTACATGCAATAACTCATTCATAATTATCACAGAATTATAAATTGGGCACTGTTATTATCTCCATATTACAGATAAACAGAGAAACAGAGAGGATTAGAAATTCGTTCAAGATCACATAGCTTCTGCTATGCCATATTTAGAGAAAATAATGAACCATTTGTCTTCTTGTACTTAACATATCTATTACACTCAGAAAGAAATGTGATGCTGTGTCCATATTGCTATTATCAAGATCAAATCAACAAACATTAATTAGGTGTGTATCACTCTGATATATGAGGGGGGAAACCCAAAAGAAAAAAACAAGAATTGTCTTTTTGGAGGGCAGGAGGGCAAAATCCTTGTAGTACAAGCTTTCTCCACTAGGAATGTTTTTAGGAACCCATCTGCATCAGTGTACCGGCTAGTGTTGTGAGAGGCTGGGGTTGGCTTCAGTGAATTTTTTTGGAGATTCATTCAGCGTGTTTGCCCATTTCATGATGGGTGATTTACATGTGCACCTGTCCACACCATGCTATCCTCATGCCCCACCCGATCTCAACCTGAGTGACTTTTTTTGTTTCCCCAGATGAAAAACTTCTCAAAGGGAAATGTTTTGCTGATGCAGAAGGGGTGAAACAAAAAACAAAAGCACTAAAACGCATCAAAATTGAGGAGTTCAAAAACTGTTTTGAGCAATTGAAAAAGCATCTTGATGTGCGTGTTGCATCAAACAGAGAGTACTTTGAAGGTGACTGAAGTGTAAACATGTAAGAATAAATACACAATTGTTATAAATAAATTCCGGGTTTTGGGGACCCTTTCTCATAAACAATAACAAAGATAATACAAGCAAATCTTATATAATGTGATATATACATTATCTTTACACGTGTATGTGTTTCTATGTGTATGTAAAATCAAGAAGTATTAGAAGTCTAAGATAACTAGCAATTGTTCATCTTTTTCTGGGCCATAACTATTTTAAATTATGTCAATTGTAATCTTCAGTTTGTTTGTGTTTTTTAGCATTAAATACCTAGTTTCTGTACTTTTAAATTACCTGAATCTCTGTCCATAGCTTCAACCTTCGTGACAAATGCCCCTGGACTTTGGTTTTCTTTAACAGAAGCTTCATACAGGCGCTGCTTAAATACTGGTGCCTCATCATTGATGTCAAGAACAGTAATTGTCAGAGTCTGAGATGAAGAAAGTGCCGGTATGCCATCATCCAGTGCCAGAAGGGTCAGAATGTGCTGGGGTTTTATTTCATAATCCAAAGGACAAGTTGTAGTTAGTAAGCCTGTTTTTAAAACAGAAGATAAGCAATATATAACGAATATTCTTTACAGAAGTCATGCTCATTCCACCGATGTCTAACTTCTCTAACTTGATAAAAACTCAGAAATTTTAATTGCTGAAGAATGAATTGTATAAAACTGTCTTTAAATTTATATATTATCTAGAATACAAAGTAAACACTTCTCACCAGAGTAAAGTCATCCCAATTTAAAATATAAGGATGAATGACCATTCCAAAATACTCTCTTATACAATTATCTACTGAGAGGACTACATTAAAATTATTTATCTTCCCAACATCTACCTTCTTTTTAAAAAATATCTAGAATAATAACAATATATATATCTTTGTGTCACATACTACCACATGTTTAAAAGTGACCATGTTACAAAAATGTGAGTATGGCTGCATTCTTTAGACATTTGATTTTTGCTAAAGAGTCTCTTTATACTTACTTTCCATTAACTCTCTCTTAAAAAAAAAAAAAAGAACAAAGATGTTATAACCCAAACAAAAAATTTCATGAGTAAAACATGCCTCTATCCCACTGCCATTTGAGCATATATCCATAGAAGTAAAATATAATAAAGACTTGCACACAGATAGCCATTCTATGATTCTAACTGCCAAATTTCTTTTAGGATTGCTGTTTATACCTCTCAACCTATAAGAATTTTTCTGGAAGTAATTAAAGGTGTCTACTGAATCAGATTTTATAGTTTTTCAATAATTCCTCATCACTTTATATTTCATAGCCATAAGCCACTGAATATCTCACTATGTCTTCTTTCTAAGAAATATGAGCCTTGTGAGAGGAAAAACATCCCATTGCATATGAACGCATTTGGCAATTATCATTTTATGTCTTTGAAAAGCATTTGCTCTGAAACAGTCCCTGCAATTGCTCAAGTGATTCATGATACCTGTAATACTGAAACACAATTCTAATTTTATCCATCTTTTTTAACAACCTGAAATAGACCTTACTTAGCTATCTTGGAAAACATTCTAGGTATTGTTGAAACAGGTCCCTGGAGAGGCCCAGCTCCAGCAGATATCAGGAGTGTGTGTCTGGACTATCTCTCTGTCAATTGGGCATTTAGGTGGTGGCCATGCATGCCTCAGAATGAAACCATATGTACAGGATTTAATAAATATTTTGATGAAAATTTCCAACAGAATATAGCCAGAATATAAACATGGCTTCCAAATCTTCCACATTCAATCCCATTCCAAATAATGTTTTTACTAACAGTTGGGTCAAATGACATACATCTGAAATTTTTTTCTAAGTTTCATGTAGAAATTATTTTTTTAGAGATGATAGTTCATTAATTTTTCAATATCCCATCAAAATCAGGTAGAGGAAAGTTTATTTTTTAATTCATGTGACTAAAAATTTGTACATATACTCTTTCATCAAACTACAAAAAAACTTATAGAAGATGTTATCTGGCAACAGGGTGGCAGCAAGGTAAGTGAAGTGACAATGAGTGACACTTCTGTAGAGTACCTGATTGTGAATAAACACTTCTGGGGGATAAAAAAAGAAATGTTACAAAATGTAATGTCCAAATGGATTCAACCATTAAAAATATATATTATTTTTAATGATTCACAAATATATGTTTGTATGATCTTAAAGATAAGTTTCTATTCCAAGTTTTTTGAAAAATGCTGATTTGTCATGTTCCTACCTTAATTCATTTTCGGCACCATTTCCGACCATGCAAGAACCCACAATGGGGGCAAAGAAGTTTGCTATGGTTTGTTCAGCTCATGAAATGTGAGCTATCTACAAAGCATAGTTAATATTTACAATCAGGCTAGTTAAAGTTGCTTCTCCAAATACAACCTCTGTGCCTATCATACAAGTTAAACAACATAACAAATCAAAATTCTTTTAAAGCATATGTATCTTGAAAGCTATCATTTAAGAGAGGAAAATGAAAAAGAGAAGTGAAAGCAAGTGATGGGAGAATTTAAAGTGGTAGGAAAGAAAGAACAGGCATCCAAGTCAGAAAATAAAAAATAAAATTATTCCTGTTTGCAGATGATACAATCTTATATATTGAAAACCCTGAAGACTCCACCAAGAAACTGAATTTATTTATTTGGAACAAATACATTTATTTAGAACAAATAAATTCAGTAAAGATAAGGATACAAAAATCAACATGCAAAAATCAGTTGCATTTCTAAACATGGGCACGGAACTATCTGAAAAGGAAATTAGAAAAACAGCCCTATTTACAATAGCACCAAAAAAGAATAAAATACTTAGGAATAAACTTAGCCAAGGAGGTGAGTACCTTGTTTACTGAAAACTACAAGACATTGAATAAAGAAATTAAAGACACAAATGGAAAAGACGTTTGTGATTATAGAATGAAAGATCTAATATTGTCAAAATGTTCATACTACCCAGAGTGATCTACAGATTCAATGTAATTCCTACAAAATCCCAATGGTATATTTTGCAGAAACAGAAAAAAATAATTCTAAAATGTATATGGAATCTCAAAGAACCCCAAGTAGTCAAAATATTCTTGAGAAAGAACAAAGCTAAAGATATCACATTTCCTGAACTTTAAGGCATATTACAAAGGTACAGTAATCAAAATAGTATGGTGCTGACATAAGGACAGACATATAGACTAATGGAACAAGGTAGAGAGCCCAGAAATAAATCCACACATATATAGTCAACTGATCTAGGACAAAGTTCAGAAATACACAATGGAAAAAATAATCTTTTCAACTAATGGTATGGGAAAACTGCATATCCACAGGCAAAAAAATGAAGGTGCACCCTTATACTATATTGAAAGTAAAATGTATTAAAGACTTAAATATAAGCCCTGAAACTATAAAAGTCCAAAGGAAAACACAGGAGACCTTGGTCTTGCAATGATCTCATAAATATGACAATGAAAGCCCAGGATACAAAAACAAAAATAAACAAAGGAAAAGGAAAAGTCAACCCACAAAATGGGAAAAATATATTTGCAAACCATATCTTTGATGAACAGTTAATATCCAGAAGATAAAAATCCTATAACTAAATATGAAAAAATCACAAATAACCTGATTTTAAAATGGGCAAATGTATGTCTTTTTTCTCCAATACAAATAGCCAACAGATATATTCAAAAAAACTCAATGTCACTAATCATCACAGAAAAGCAAATCAAAACCACAATGTGCTACCACTCACACATGGATACTATTATTTTTTTTTTAAAGATAAGTGTTGATGAAGATGTGGAGAAATTGGAACCCTTGCACACTGTTGGTGGGAATGTAAAATGCTGTAGCCCTATACGAAGCAGTATGGAGCTTCCTCAAAAAATTAAAAACAGAGCTACCATATGACCCAGAAACTCCACTTCTTTATATTCATACAAAAGAATTGAAATTAGGATCCTGAGGTAATAGGAGTGCTCCCACATTCACTGCAGCATCCTTCACAATAGCTGAGATGTGGAAACAACCTAAATGTCCATCAGCAGATGAATGGAAAAAGAAAATGTGGTACATTCAAACAACGGAATACAACTCAGCCTTAAACGAGAAAGAGCTTCTAAAATATGTAACAACATAAATAAACCCTGAGGACATTATGTTAAGTAAAATAAGCCAGTCACAAAATGATAGATACTGCATGATTCCACTCATATGAGGTATCTAAAATAGTCTAATTCATGGAATGGTGTCAGAGGTTGGATAGAGGAAGAAACAGGGAGAAATTTTCAGTTTCAGTTAAGCAGGGTGAATAATTTTCAGAGATTAGCTGTACAACCTTGTACCTATAGTCAAAAGTAATGCATTGTACACTTAAAACTTTATTAGAAGTGTAGGTCCCATGTTAGGTTTTTTCTAACTACAAAAACGTAAATATTTTTTGTTTCATATTAAATTTGTTTTTTATCGAGATAAAATTCACTTGCCATAAAACTAACCATTTTAATGTAGACAATTCAATGGCATTTAGTATATTCACACTATTGTGTAACTGTCAACTCTATCTAGTTACAAAACAAAGCAAAACAAAAGTATGTTTTATGTGACATATAGGGTACTGTACCTGATGACTCATCTAGCATGAAAGCTTTGTTTTCATTTCCTGAGAGGATGCTGTATGTTACTTTTCCATTCCTTCCTTCATCTGGATCTTGAGCTGATATGTGGTGTACCAGGGAGCCCACTGTGACATCCTCTTTGACATGGGCAATGGGGAAAGACATGAAAATGGGGCTGTGGTCATTTACGTCCAAAATCACTACTTTTGCCATCAGCGATCTCAATCGCCGGTCTGTCACATTCACAGCCTGATCAGAGGCAGTTACTGTCAGAACGACCATTGGAACACTCTCTCTGTCAAGAGGGGATGCAGTGACTAACGTGCCAAACGAGGGATGGATGAGAAATGGATTCATTCCAGGGGGGTGGGATTCAATGACATATTGTATTCTACTGTTCAAAAAACTGCCATCGCCATCCTTGGCATTGAAGACATAAACCAGAGTCCCTATGGGAACATTCTCCTCCACGCTTATCACAATGAACTCATCCTGGAAAGAAGGGGAATGGTCGTTCTGATCTTCCACATCAACACTAAGGAAGACTGTGCTGTTCAGGGGAGGATTTTTGCTATGGTCTGTAGTAATCACCCTGAAAAGATAATGAGATGTTGTTTCATAATCGAGTTCCTTGGAAAGAAACAAGTCTCCTGTTGAGCTGTCAATTTCAAAGTGACCATCCTTGTCATCCGCAGCAATTCTAAAATGTAATTTTCCATTATGATGTTGTTGAAGATGATCAGGTGACTTTATCAAGCTCATTATTTTTGTAGGCTTCCAGTTTTCTGGTATAACTAAGTGTCTGATATTCTGAGAAATGATTGCTCTCCCTTTGGATAGAGGGACCACCTGAAATAAGAATAAAAGAACTGGTAATTTGTGGTATTTTTAAAACAGTTGAACAATACATGCAGTGGTATTATTTTGGAAGTTAATTCCTTTCATTTGTGTAATATAAATATGTTAATTGCTCATCAAATATATTTTTTGTATTATATAATTCCACTATGTCTCAGAGGATTGAAAATTGCATAATATTTAGGAGATAAGAAACTGCAGAATTGTCCATGTTCCAGTTTGCTGTGATGTCTGAAATGACAGTTTGGCAAGGTGGAGCTATCGTTACACTGAACTGTAGCCTTGTAATTCTTCAAAAGAAATGTGGGATAGCTAGCTCTGTAAATTACTGTAAATACTGGAGACCAATTTATATATAAGGATAACATTTGTGTACATTCAAGTATCATATGTCTTTGAAACAAGAAACTGGTAGTATGACTATGTAGATTTTTCTCTTAACTCACTTATCTTTAATCAATAAAGAATATAATTTGGAAACAGAACTCTTGAAATATATCCTTGATTATTTTATATACATATATTAATATAACTGATTGCCATATGTGTGACATATGACTGGTTAGTGTAATTTTTCCTACTAAAAATACTTGCCACAACTTGTTTGCTCATTGTGATTGAAGTAAAGCCTTAAAATACGACCACAAGTGACATTTCTAAGTTTTAAAAAAATTATGAAAAAAACTATGTGATTTATTATATGGTCGTTTTTTTTACAAACATGTTTCTCCTGTAAATTTATCAGGCTCTTGCAATTACAAATAACTACAAGAAAAGATACCTTGTGTTCAATAATGCAACATAAATGCCCATATAGTGATGAATATCTTGTCAAGAACTATACAAAGCTAATCTACAAAATAATCTGGCTCTAAATCATTTCTCTAGTGATATCAAAAAGGCAAATATATATGAGGAATCATCTCTTTAAATGGTATTCATATTCTATATATTCAAATACATACATATTGGATGTATCTTCAATCTGCACACTTTTATAAGAGTCAAATGAAACTTTCAGACATCTTTCCACATTGTAGGGTGATGACATTACCTGGATATTAATAACTGCCTGTCCTTGAAGAGGAGGCTCTCCCTGGTCACTGGCAACAACAGTCATCCTATAGGAAGGTCTATAATCATATGAAAGTACTATGGTTGTTCTTATTTCACCACTGTTGGCATCAATCTTAAAATGATCAGCACTATCTTCTACACACAAAAAATTGAAGAAATGAATGTTAATTGACAATGTCTAAAACACAGAATCACTTAATATATCTCTGATCATTTGGAAGACTTATTTGCCTTAAGCTCTATAAGTGTTTGAACACAAAAACGACACAAAATACAAACAAGAAACATAAGAGATTTTTAAAAATCTTATTATGGAAAATTTCAAGCAATATGAAAAAGTAGACAGAATGCTATAATGAACTTCTATGAGTCTGCCACCTAGCTTCAATAATTATCAACTCATAGCCAATCTTATTCCATCTATTTCCCATTCATATACTTCTCTTCCCCAATTTCTTTGGAAGCAAGACCCACAATCATATCATTTCTTCTGTATATATTTCAAAATGCATCTCTAAAAAATAAGAGATATTTTTCACATAATCACAGTACCATAGCATACTTTAAAAATTAATAATGATTCACTGATATCATCAACTGTTCAGTAAATTTTTAAAATTTCTAATCATTCCATAAATATCAATTTTTAAATTTGTTTCATTAAGATCAAAATAAAGCCCATATAGTACATACTTCTTCAAAGTATGGATTGTTGCCATCCATCTCTTTATCATATCCTTGTAATTCATTTGTTGAAGAAACTGGATTTTGTATCCTAAAGTTTTCCATGGTCTAGACTTGGGTATTGCATTTTCAACATGTAATTTAATATGTTCCTCTGTCCACTGTGTTTTCCCTAAATTGGGAGGTAGAGCTATAGAACTGATCAGATTTAGGTTTGATTTTTTAGCAAGACTACTTCCTAAACAATGTTTTTCCTTTTATAAGCACAAAACTGGCTGCCTATTGTTTTTTTATGGTGGTCTCCACTGATGCACAGCCTAGATCCACTTAATGACTGTTAAATATTGCAAAGTATAACACAGGTTGAGCATCCCTAATCTAAAAGTCCAAAATCCAAAATATTCCAAAATCTGAAATCTTTTGGGTGCAAAAATGATGCTACAAGTGAAAAATTCTACACCTGACTCATGATGAGCCACAGTCAAAACTTTGTTTCATGCACAAAGTTATAAAACTATATGAGATTACCTTCAGGCTATATGTAGTTAACAAATACATAAATTTCGTGTTTAGACTTGGGTCTCATCCCCAAGGTACCTCATTATTTATATGTAAGTATTCCAAAATCCAAAAGTTGGAACACTTATGGTACCAAGCATTTTGGATAATGGATACTCCACATGTGCTGCATTCTGGTTTATCATCTCTTTTTCATAAATTAGCTGGACTAAAGACAAACTGTCTCTCATTTACTTTTTGGCAACCTAGTGAAACAGTTAACTATAGGTGAGGTACGATAAATGCTTGGTGTTAAACTTTTATTTAGCAATTTTTGAAATAATGGATTGATTCACTAACATCTCTTAATATTCCAACTACGATAAGTAACTTTTTGTCTTGTTTTTGTTTTAGAAACTATTAAGCATAAATTTAAACATATTAGATATGTTTCAATGTATTGCCATTATTATCCATCTTGATGCTCAAATCGTCCCATCACTGAACATTGGAATGCTCTTAAAGATGGTACCTGGGTCTTTTTGACATGATCCTAATAGTCTGGTGACAGAATGGTACAGACTTATCTGGTAGATTTTCTGTCCATAACCTAGAATCAGGTATTTTTCCAAAGACTCCCAGTTTCTTTCAGTAGAAAATGGTTTGGGGAGACAATATTCGGCATGCTAACGGTGTTCACTGTTCCTAGGCTGGTCATTTTTTTCCAGACCTTGTCAGTGGACAGAGAATCCATACATAGACAAACACATTAAAATATATCCTAAGTTCATATTGACACATAATTCAAATTGGGGAGATGGGGCAAGATGGCTACGGAACTGGTTGGAATGTGAGAATCTCTGCAAAAATGAATGTCGGTAAAGACTGTCTGCATGAGTGGGGTGTACTGGTGGGTGAGTGAAAGTCCATCTGAGAGGAGACTCGGGTTCAAGCACCTGTGGCTGTCCTCTGGAGGTGACTGCAACCCACCACTGCACTGAGATTGGAGCCCCCCCATGTGCAGAATCACCTGCCATTCTCAGGGGTCTCTTGAGAGGAGGCAGCAATGAACAGCTGCTCCTCAGCACCTGGCACCTGGCCCACCACATCACCTGTGGCAGCAGGCTGGGCACTAGCAGCAGGAACTGTGAAGAAGGCACGGTGAGGAAATCTGGAACTGAGCCCAGACACCAGTGAGGAGACACCAGTGAGGAGACTGCCATTTTCTCTGTCCCAGGACCAGGCAGAGACCTGTGTTGCCCTGCCCAGCTCTGACCAGCCTCCAACCCGAGACCCAGAAAGTATCTCCTCACTCCTTTGGGATCAACCATCAGACTGGGAGAGACAGATGCCCCCCACCCCCACACCGGAACAGAAACAGACACATCTGAGTTGAGTTGGAGACTTGACAGCAGTGGCAACAGCAGACAAGTAGGGTGAGTCCAGATCTGATTCATCCTCCTCCCACCGAAGTCCACAGGGCATTTGACCCACACTAAGAGCAATCAAATCAGCCTATGCTGAGAGCAGTGGGGACAGTTTGGAGACTGGAAACACTCCCTAATGTAATGGCAGCCCAAAGCACTGGCAATCAAAAGCATGCTTGGAAAAGGAACCTGAAGTTCTAAAAATGGCCACATAGCGAGCTCTTTTTTTTTTCCCTTCTTTCTTTCTTTCTTTCTGTTTTTGTTTACATTTTCATACTTAGTTTTGGTTATTTTACTGATGGTTTTCAGATTTTCTGTTTGTGTGTGTGTATTTTTGAGGGTGAGTACATCAAGAGAGGTTTTTTTTTGTTTGTTTGTATGATTGTATGTTTTTGTTTTTGTTTTGTTTGTCTTTGTTGTTTCCTTGTATATTCATTAGTTGGTGTGCCTCTCTATTTTCCCTCTTCTCTCTCTCCACCTTCCTTTCATCTCCCTACTTCCTTTTTCCATTCTTTACATTTTTCTTATCTCATTTTGCTTTCAAGGGGCAAAATACACACCCACTGCATGGACGGATTGTAAGGCAGTGGGAAGTGGGTTCCTGGGGACCCACACACATGTCAGTGGATACTGAGATCTGCAGATAGCTTCAGAACCACAGCTCCCCTCTTAATCAAATCTCAAAACTTGCAAAAAGCACAGCCCCCAACCCCAGTCTGACTTCAAAATTGAACAAATTCAGAGGAGCTGCAAAAGGAAGAATAGGGGATTAAGCAAATGGAAGTAAATGCCACCCCTACTATCACTGAAAAACAGGATTAAAGAAGGGGGAAAAGGGGGGAGGAAAACCTTCACAAATAAAGAAGAACCAACAGAAGAATACAGGTCTCATATAGAGCCCTGGAAAGACAGCAACTGAAAATACAGACTTCAGAACTCAAACAATGAAAAGCCCCAGAACAACTGGTCACAAACCACAAACACAGATATCAAGATATTAATAGAGAGAATAAATAGAAATGAGGAAAGACAAGAGGAAAGAATGAAGGAGTTGATAAATGAGATGATGGCAATAAAGAATATGGTGAATTAAATAAATAACAAACTGATAAGCATGGAAAGCAGAATTAACTAAGCAGAAGGAAGATTCTCAGAGCTTGAGGACCAAAACATGGAACTAACCCAAATTGTTAAAAACACAAAAAAGAAGCCTAAAAAGACAGAACAATACCTCTAAGAGATGAGCGATTATTTCAAGAGGCTGAACCTAAGATTAATTAAAATCCCTGAGGCAGAGAGAGAGAGAGAGAGAGAGAGAGAGAGAGAGAGAGAGAGAACACCCTGGAACAAACATTCCATGAAATTATAGAAGAAAACTTCTCTCATCTCATCAGAGACATGGCCATTCAAACACAAGAGATTCAGAGAACCCCTGCAAGACATCAAATGAGAATATCAACTCCTAGATATACAGTAATTTGCTTACACAAATTAAGTATAAAAGAAAAAATCCTAAAGGCAGCAAGAGAGGAAGATCAGACTACCTACTGGGGAAGACCAATTAGAATAGCAGCAGACTCATCTACAGAAACACTACAGGTTAGAAGAGACTGGAGTCCAATTTTCAAAATTCTCAAAGATAAACCATTTCGACCAAGAATTACCTATCCAGCTAAGCTAGGTTTCATCAGTGATAGAGAACTGACATTCTTCCCAGACATTCAATCCATAAGAGTTTACACTGCCACCTGAACAGCTCTACATGATATAAGAAAGTATTAAACACAGAAGAAAGAAAAAAAGAATGACCACACCATCCCTGAAAATACAGGAAAAAGATTGAAAACACAGGCAGTGCGAAGGGCTTGAAGATGGCCGGTTGGCAGAGCTACGTGGATAACCTGATGTGCGATGGCTGCTGCCAGGAGGCCGCCATTGTCGGCTACTGCAATGGCAAATATGTCTGGGCAACCATGGCCGGGTGCGTCTTCCAGAGCATTACGCCAGTAGAAATAGATGTGATTGTAGGAAAAGACGGGGAAGGTTTCTTTACCAACGGTTTGACTCTTGGTGCAAAGAAGTGCTCAGTGATCAGAGATAGTCTATACGTTGATGGTGACTGCACAATGGACATCTGGACAAAGAGTCAAGGTGGGGAGCCAACATACAATGTTGCTGTGGGCAGAGCTGGTAGAGCATTGGTTATAGTCATGGGAAAGGAAGGTGTCCACGGAGGGACACTTAACAAGAAAGCATATGAACTCGCTTTATACCTGAGGAGGTCTGATGTGTAAGCAGCCTCTCCCCATCTACCTAGCAACTGTCTTCATCACCACCCCAATTATGGTCACAGTGCTACCAGACTAGATGGTAGCTAATTTTTCTTTACCTATTTTCTAATGTCATGATTCCTGTTTGCCCAATGGATCATTTGTATGTTAACCACTGTATGTAACCAACCCTTATCTGGCAACGTAATTGCAGCACAATAATGATTTGCATGATACCTTGAAATTGGGGGGAGGGAGCATGCCAAGTTGGGCATCACTTTGTCTTAGCAATTAATGGGATATTGATTACTAAAATAAGTTAATATAAAGCAAGGTGCCGGTTGTACAATCTCTAATTTGATCAGTGTCTTTTCAGCACTTTGAGCGTTTACTTGGCTCATTTAGTCTTCCTTTTGTAGCGCATGGTTGGAAGGAAAAAGTGCATGCATCTTTCCTTCACTCCTCTCTTTTCCCCACCCTCTCCCTTCACACATAAGCCATTTGGTTTGCTTCTCTTCTTTTATGCAGTGCCTGGTTTATTTAACCAATTAATATCCCTTTTGTTGATGAGCTATTGAGAGCTGCAGCAGTTTGCTTTTAGTATTGTTGTTGCACTTGAGCAGAGACAAACTTTTTCTGTCATAGTGTCTATAGGACATGAAGAGTGCAATGGCAAAACAAGAACAAAAAGCACTTCCTCCCATGACCTTACAGTAAACATATTGATTGAATCCCCAGGGACATTCCATCATTGCAATAGCTCAGATTTTTGTTCCTGTCTTTTTCTTTGCACACCAGCTCTACTCTTTAGTAAAATTGTAAAAGGCTGCCATTATAAACATAAGGTATCCCAACATAACCATCTGGAGTGTGTCCAGTTTGTTCTTCATAGGACCAATTTTATTTGCAGCTTGAGTTTTTATATGAAGTTACATTATTGTGGACTTGGCTGTCTTATGATGAATTTTTTCATAAGTATTTTGTGCCATACTATTGTTAAAATGAACTGTTGCTATTGTGAGATGGATTTTAACTGACCTATTAAGGGTTTCTTTCGAATGGCACTACTTTAGGGACATTCTAGTATTTGCTTCTATCATCTGGGCCTTGTGCATAATGTACAAATTTAAAAACAGATGTTGTTTCTGATTGTCCATTTCTTTTTTTTTTTTGAGTTGGAGTCTCACTCTGTCGCCCAGACTGGAGTACAGTGGCCGCTCCCGGCCACCGCAGCTTCAACCTGCTGGGCTCCAGCGATCCTTCCGCCTCAGCCTTCAGAGTAGCTGGAATTACAGGCATGCACTGTCACGCCCAGCTGATTTTTAAATTTTTATTGTGGAGATGAGGTCTCGCTGCCCAGGCGGGTCTCGAACCCGGGGGCTCAGGCAATCCACTCACCTCAGCCTCCCAAAGGTGCGGGATTACAGGCTGAGCCACCAAGCCTGGCATGTGATTGTCCATTTCTTTCCCTGCACTTTGTTACATCTGGGATACAGTCTAAGTCATCTGATTTAATATGCGTTTTTAAAAATGCCATAACTATTAAACACCTTGTTTACAGACAGATGAAATAAATTTATTCCAACCAAAAAAAAAAGATTGAAAACACACATAAATCAACCCCCAAATCAAAAGAAAGTTAACAAACAAATAAACAAACAACAATAATAAACTCTATAAAAACCTCATGACAAAGAGAAACTCTCACATCAACGTAATTAACCAGAATAATAATGAACTAAATACACCACTAAAAAGAAATAGAATGGCAAATTGGATAAAAAATAATGATGCAACAATATGCTGTCTCCAGAAGACTCATCTCACCAGAAACGATACTCACAGACTCAAAGTAAGAGGATGGAAAACAAATTTTCAGGGGAATGGAACACAAAATAAAGCAGAAGATAAGACCTTAATATCAGACAAAATACCCTTTAAGCTATCAAAACTGACCCTGAAGAAATACAAACGATTATCAGAGATATTTATGCACACCTGTATGGAAACAAACTTGATAACCTAAATGAAATGGAGGACTTTCTGACATTGCACAGCCTCTCAAGATTGAAACAAGACAACATCAAGACACTAAATAGACCAGTAACAACCCAGGATGTTAACTCTGTCATAAGAAAGCTACCTAAAAAAAAAAAAAAACAACAACAAAGTTCTAGATCAGATGGTTTTCCAGAAGAATTCTACAAGACATACAAGGAGGAGCTGTTGCCAATCCTACTGAAAATATTCCAGGCAATTGAGAAAGACATAATTCTCCCCAAATCATTTTACAAAGCTAACATCACACCGATACACAAACTGGGTAAAGATCCAACAAAAAAGAGAACTTCAGGCCAATATCCCTAATGAACCTAGATGCAAAAATTCTCAACAAGATTATAGCATATAGAATCCAACAACACATCTCAAAAATTATCCACCATGACCAAGTAGGCTTTATCCCAGGGATACAGGTGTGGTTCAACATCCACAAGACCATAAATGTAATTAAATATATCAATGGATGAAAAAATAAGAAACACATGATTATATAATAAGACACAGAAACACTTTTGATAAAATTCAGTATTCCTTCTTGATAAAAATCTTCGAAGAACTAGGCACAGAAGGAACATACCTCAAAATAGTATGCTCCATCTACGACAAACCCACAGCCAACATATTGCTACATGGACAGAACCTGGTAGCATTTCCCCTGAAAACTGGAACAAGACTGCTTACTCTGACCCCTCCTGTTCAACATTGTGTTGTAATTCCTAGCTAGAGCAATTAGACAAGAGAAGGAAATCAGGGGTATCCAAATAGAAAAAGAAGAAGTTAAGTTATTCCTTTTTGTTGACGATATGATCCCATACCTCAAAAATCCAAGAGAATCTGTCTAAAATCTCCATACAGTGACAAAGGACTTTGGCAAAGTCTTGGGGTACAAAATAAATGTACAAAAGACAGTTGCATTTTTATACACCAACAACAAATAGGCAGAGAACCAAATAAAAAGCACAATTCCATTCATAATAGCCATCAAAAAATTAGGAAATTGGCATCTTCCTAACCAGAGAAGTGAAAAAGCGTTGCAATGAAAACTGTAAAACACTGCCCAAAGAAATCCAAGAAGACACAAACAAATGGAAAAATATTCCATGCTCATGGATAGGAAGAATCAACATTATTAAGATGTCTATCCTGCCAAAGGCAATCTACAGATTCAATGCAATACCCATTAAATTACCAGCATCATTCTTCTCAGACCTGGAAATGACAATACAGAAACATAAACTACCACAAATAGCCAAAACAATCCTCAGCAAAAGAAACAAAGCAGGAGGTATCACACTTCCAGACTTTAAACTTTACTGTAAGGCTATAATAATCAAAACGGCCTGATATTGGTACAAGAACAGGCATATGGACCAATGGAACAGGATAAAGATTCCAGAAGCAAAACTTCAATTTCTCAACCAACTCATCTTCAACAAAGTCTCCACCACCAACCACTAGGGAGAGGAGAACTTATTCAGTAAGCGGTGCTGCAAAAACTGGTTACCACATGCAGAAGATTGAAACAGGACTCCTACCTATCACCATACACAAAAATGAACTCTAAATGGATCAAAGACCTAAACGTAAAACTTCAAACTATAAGAATCTTAGAAAATGCAGGAGACACCCTTACAAAAACTGGAGTAGGCAACCAATTCTTGATCAAAATCCCTAGTGCCCATACCATAAGAGATAAGATAGACAAGTGGGACTTCATCAAACCGAAAAGTTTTGGCAAAGTAAAAGAAACCATCAAGAGAGTGAGGAGACAGCCCACAGACTGGGGGAAAATATTTGCCAACTGTATTTATGACAAAGGCCTAACATCCAGGATCTACAAGGAACTCAAAATGCTGAAAAGAAAAAAACAAACAGCCCATTACAAAGTGGGCAAAATATATGAATTGACACTTCTCAAAAGAAGACATATGAGCAACAAGAGATACATGAAAAAATACTCAGCCTCACTAATCATCAAAGAAATGCAAATTAAAACCCTACTGGGATGCCACCTAACTCCAGTCAGGATGGCCGTCATCAATAACTCAAAAAACAACAGATACTGGAGAGGATGGGTAAAGGGAAAACTTGTACACTATTGGTGGGAGTATAAACTAGTATAACCTCTGTGGAAAATGGTTTGGCGATTCCCAAAAGATCTAAAATTCAACCTTCCATATGACCCCACAATCCCCCTTCTGGGAATATACCCGGAGGAACTCAAATCACTCTACGAAAAAGATACCTGCACATGAACGTTTATTGCAGCATTATTCATAATAGCAAAAACATGGAACCATGCTGCACATTGAAAGAGGACTGGATAAAAAAATGTGGTACATATACATGATGAAATATTATGCAGTCATAAAGAAGGACAAAATTATGAACTTCGCAGTAACTTTGAGGGACTTATATATTAATACTGAATGATCTATCACAGAAATGAAGAACTGAGTACCACATGTTCTCACTCATAAGCAGACCTTGAACAATTATTATAATACTATAAGAAAGGGATTGGCAGTAGTGGCAAACTTCCAGGGGAGAGAGGAGAGGCACATCTCATCAACCAGGATACCTGCAGAGTGGCCATTTGTATACCTAACCCTGAATTGTACCCCACGTTTTTAAGATAAAAAAAAAATTAAAAAAAAGAAAATCTAACAGAAAAAAAAATTCAAATTGGTACCGTAGAATTTTGTTTAGCTAAATAGCAGATTTATATTCTTCAGTAACATTTGAATAGTTCAAACAATTCAAAACTAAAACAAAGCCTGAGTAGAGTTCTTCTCTATTCTCTTGTTCAACAGTTGTCAAGTCATTACCATGAACCAAATACTTTACCAATTGTAAGAGAAATAATGCAAATGTAAAAGGACTTCTGCCTTCAAAAAAGTAACAGCATGGAGTAGGCAATTACATAACATTTATTAACTGTGCCCTCTATGTTTAATCAATTTATTTTATTCTCATAGGAATACTAGGGAATGCTTTCATAAATAGGTTACATATCTTTATTCCCACCATACTGGCTTTTATCTTGGTATTTTATCTTATATTTTGTAGTTGCCTCTGTTTTACAATTAGAGAAAGTAAAAATAAAGATATGAATAGTGTAATATATTTTATTGACATGCCACAAGTATCACTTTAATTCATATTTCAAACACTTGGAAATATATGAACATCAAAGTATCACTTCCCGGATTAATCAATTTTCAATATTTCTTCAAAGTTTTAAAGAAATGACAGAGTGTAAATAAAGCACTGGACCTATGTATACTTACAAATCTCACTCCCTTCCTCTCTCCCTGTATTTACCCACTTTTATGACTAAAGTTGAGGTTTATCTTTCTAGTCCATACATCCATAAATAATATATAGTATGGCATTGCTTGCTCTTAAATAATGTTTTGGCCAGGTGTGGTGGCTCATACCTGCAATCCCAACATTTTGGGAGACCAGGGCGAGAAGACTGCCTGAGCCCAGGAGTTTGAGACCAGCCTGGGCAACATGGTGAGACCTCATTTCTACAATTAAAAAAAATTAAAATAAATATCTGGGTGTGGTGACATGTGCTTGTAATCTCAGCTACTTGGAAAAGGCTGAGTCAGAGGGATCTCTTGAGCCAGCAGGTTGAGGCTGTGGTAGCCATGTTCCACCCACGGCACACCAGCCTGAGCAACAGAGTGAGGTCTGACTCTAAAATAAATAAATAGATAGATAAATTTTTTTATGACAGGATTATAGCCATAGATAGATAGATATAGATAGTGTGTGTGTGTGTGTGTGTGTGTGTGTGTGTGTGTGTGTGTGTGTGTGTTTTCCCTCTGCAACCTCATTGTCTTTCACAGGCATACCATATTCTCTTCTCCACCCCAAAATAAAGTAGGAGGGGAAAAAAAGGTAAGAAGACCTTACTGACCTAGCCAGAGAAAGATTCTTGAATGCATGCTTGGAAAGCCAGTTTTTCTTTCCCCCTAGGACTAGATTAGTCTAGGTTAAGAGAATGAAAAGAGAAAGTTGAAAGGTGAGGTGACTAACAGGAAGACAAAAACAAACAAACAAACAAACAAACAAACAAAAATCATGGGGGAGACAGGGAGAGAATCTCTGAAACAGAGGAGAGCAGGAACACAGATGAAGAGCTGTCCCCAAATGTGGATCTTCAGCAGGCTCATTACCTTTGTAGACTCCACTGTGCAAGTGTCCTAAAAACTGTAAAAGAATTTCTGAAGGCTGGGTGCGTGGCTTATGCTTATAATTCCAGCAATTTGGGAGGCCGAGGTGAGAGAACTGCCTGAGCCATGGGTTTAAGACCAACCTGGGCAACTTGGCAAGAACTCATCCCTACAAAAAATTAGCCAGGTGTGGTGGTGTGTGTCTGTAGTACCAACCACATGGAAGACTGAGGCAGAAGGATCACCTGAACCCAGCAGGTCGAGGCTGCAGTGGCCGTGAGCATGCCACTGCATTCCAGCCTGGACAACAAGTGTGAGACTCCAACAAAAAAAAAAAAAAAAAAAAATTTCTGAAATGTTTGCAGGTAAAGAAATTAGGATGCCTTGTATGGGCACAGAAACACGAGTGAACCCTCGCTGACCAAGGAGATAATGAGAAACACCACCTGTAACTTTTCTAATGAAAAGCAATACAATGAATTCAAAGCCACTGTTAAAGGAGAATTTTTTTTTATCTTCTGTAACTTGCCTTTTTCACTTAACTTTGGCTTCAAAATTTATCCAGGTTGCTGTGTACGAAACTCTAGCACACTCATTTTCATTGCTGCAGAGTATTCCACAAGAATATACTGTATGTTACAAGCTGTTAAACAATGCTCAGTGATCATCCCGTTTTGTGTTTCAATCTGCACATGGAAGAGTTACTGTAGGATTGCTTCACTGCATTTCAAAGTGGTCACACCAAGGAGTCTGAGAACGTTTTAAAATGTGCTTAATTATTCAGACATTTTCTGTGAATTGTCTGATAATATCCTTTGTCTAGTTTTTTTATTTATTTGTCCTTTCTTATTGATTTGCAGGAGTTCTCAATAAAGTATGAATATTAATTTTGTATTGGTTAGGTGGGTTGCAATTATCTTCTCTCAACTTGTGACTTAACTAATAAAATGGTAAAGATGGTATTTTTGTAGTGTCTTGAATTTTAATATAGTTTTACTTATTTACTCGTGTTTCCACTTTACTTCTTGTTTAAAAATCCTTGTTTATCCTCAATGCTATATTACTAATCTCATATTTTCTTTTGTAAGATTAAGGAGTTTCCACATTTAAATAGCCTCATCTTTAATATAATGGAAGGTAAAGATATAATGTTATTTTTCCATATAGCTAACCAATCCCCTCAGAATCATGTATTGATAGTTCATCTTTTTCCACATTTATTTCTCACTCTTCTCATATGTCAGATTTCCATACACAAGAGGTGCGATCTCTACTCTTTTCAGTTGGCCTATTCATTAATCCATGAGTCAATACAATAGTGTCTTAATTACAAAAGTTTTATAAATCAAGACCTGGTAGGGCCCATATCCCACTCGTTCTTTGAACATTGTCTCAGTTATTCCTTGTCTTTTGCTCTTCCATAAGACTTTTAGAACCAGCTTGTCAAATTCCAATGCCACACTGAAATTTTGGTGGAAATTATACTGAATTAATCAATATATTTTTGTTAAGGATTTTTTTTGTTTTTGTTTTTTGAGTTGGAGTCTCACTCTGTCGCCCAGACTGGAGTGCAGTGGCCGCTCCCAGCCACCACAACATCGACCTGCTGGGCTCTGGTGATCCTTCCACCTCAGCCTTCCAAGTAGCCGGAATTACAGGCATGCACTACCACGCCTGGCTGATTTTTTGATTTATTGTACAGATGAGGTCTCACTGCCCAGGTGGGTCTCGAACCTGCGGGCTCAGGTAATCCACTCATCTCAGCCTCCCAAAGGTGCAGGATTACAGGGTGAGCCACCGAGCCCGGCAGGATTGTTATCTTTAGGCTATCAAAGCTTCCCAAACATGGACACGATATAGCTCTGCACTTCATTCTTTTATGTTTTTCATTATTATTTTGTAATTTTCTACATAAAAGTCTTACACATGTTTTACTGGAGTTTTCCCTATGCCCCTAATAGAGACACGTTGTATTAGGGAGTTTTGAAAAAAATTATATAACTTGAGGGCCCTTCTTATGAAAAATAGGACATTATTACAGAAATAAATTGCTCATTTCTCCTTCTACCCGGAGGAGTCTAGGCAAGTATAGTATCCTGAAACTTAAGTTTCATTCGCTTCACAGTAGATCTGTCCCCACACCTTATGATTTTCTTTGTGAATTTCCCATAGTAAATGAGATATTTGAAAAATTGAGTTTTTTAAAATGCTGAATTTTGGATGTTGATGTTGTTTCTAGAAAATCTGCTATCTTATTCACCCCAATGGTTTGCCTGTAACCTTTCTTGGGTTTTCCATGAAGACAATTAAATGATCTGCATTTAAGGACAATGTTGTCTCCTGCTTCTGTAAGTTTGTATCAAACATAACAAAGCACACAATGTCTTTTGAAGTGGTATAAAAATGATGTCAACTAAAGTAAATCACTAGAACAAATCTGAGGCCTACACATTCTTAAAGAAAACATAAAACTAAGCCCACTTCAATAAAGCATACATGTAAAGCATACATATGTGACATTTTCTAGGTATGATTTATTCTGAACCTAAGAATTTCGTCTTCATAAAAAATTCATTAAAAAGGACGTTTTAGCTCTTAATTATTCTTAACACCACTTCTTATTCACTAACAACTGTTATCCTTCCAATAAAAGTAAATTTGTACTTCACATTATTTTTTCACAAATTATTCATTTAAGATGAATGGTTTCTATTTACATTACGACACAAAAAGCTACTATGATTTTTTATTAAACTTTTAAATTCTTTTTTAAAAATGAAAATGATTCTTGACATCAGCAAATGTATTTTGTTTGTAATTTGGTATTATTTGCAAAGATAACGAGAGCATTCTGAGTAATCAAAATAGCAACTATTTTCCAAAAAGGAGACAGGTAGTTAATAAATCGAAGAGAAAATTCTAAAAGCTCTTATTCTTTATGAAGAGTGACTTTTACCTGAAGATAGTGAATATATAACTTCTGCACTGTTTCCTTCATCAAGATCCTTTGCAAACACAGTGGTAACCAACATATTTACTGGTTGACCTTCCAGAACCTGTCATTAGAACAAATGGCTTACAAATAGGTCAGTGGGAGTTTAAAAAGAAATATCAATGGAACTTTAAATGAAAGAACACATTACATTACACTAAACATTTTTAAACTTAAAAAAAATCAACATAAAATTCAAATGTCTACCATATAAAAGTTACATGGGTGTAAGTCTATAAAAATGATCCTTGAAAATTAAATCTCTCACTCAATTTGAATAAATTATCTGGGGCATTGAACTAATTCTGGAAAAAAGGGAAATCAAGTTAACCAAACAATCTTAAGTTCTGAGTGTTTTAGAAATTCTAGCATATTCTCATTAGTCATCTCTCAGGACATTTTTTTAAAGGTTGTTGTCAAAATATGCTTAAAATAAACACAAGCTTTCATTTCAGAAAACATACCTCAGGCCGGACATTTTGCCTTAATTACTAAAAAATCTTGAGTTATTGAAATGCATACATGAAATTCAACTTCAACTTTGCAATCCAGTTGCCCAATTAAGCCACAGAATATTTTAATGATATGACTAAAAATCATACTGCTAATATAATGTTTTGCCTTGTTAGAATTTTTCTTTAAATGCGACTTTGAAAGGTCAGTTTAAAGTTACTAAGTTCCTGAATATCACATATTCTCACTCATAGTGGGAGCTGAACATTAATCACATTAGCACAAAGGAGAGATTGGCAGTCACTGGGCACTACCAGGGATGGCAGGGGCACGTAACACAAAGGTACCTGGTCCCAAACCAGGGGAAATGAGGGTCAAACTTCACCTGCATGCAGCCTACTTGGGTACTTAATCCTTACTTGTACCCCACATCTCTATAATAAAATAAAACTTTAAAAAATAAAGTTACTAAGTTTCTCAATACCTTTTTTTAATAAACGAAAAATTTTTTAAAGAACAGTTTTAGGTTCGCAACATAATCGAGCAGAAGGTACAGTGATTTCCCATTTAATCCCTGTGTTGTGTACATATACACAACCTTCCCCATGATCAAAATTCCACACTAGAAGTTCCTCAATACCTTTGTTGAGTTGTTCAGTAGACATATTTGAGTATCATTTGAATGTCCAATTCAATTGTTTTGGAGCAGTAGCTTCTGAATTTTACTTTTTATATTCCTCCATTAAAAAATGATAAGCACATCCAAGATATAGCTATGTATTAATTATGTGCATGAACTAATTGCCAATTTATCATGTGTATTATAAAACATAAAAAACATGGAAATGAAAAGGATGAGATAAGGTAAATTAATTAGGATTATTCCTATGTGCTCAAAAGGATCAGCTTCAACGATGTCTGGATGTACCCCATCCACTCTGGAGCTACAGATCGTTCCTCTGCTTTAATTATCTTATCAATGGGTGCCAATGGCTTATAAGAATCACTGCCCAGAGACCTGCATAAATTGCTGGAGAAACAATCCATGTCCGAGCATTACTGATCCTGATGCACTATAATGTTTGCATACAAAAGGCAGAATTGAATTCATTATTACACAGCCGCTGGAGGCACAATGTCAAAGAGCACATATATCCATAGTCTCATTTAGTCGTTTCCAGGTCTAGAAAAGCATGCTTTGTCACAAGACTGAGTGATAAATTCCCATATTTTACCACAAGATGGCGCTCAAAACAAATGACTAAGGACAGCTACAGCTTCTTTGCATGACAACTTCGCTTCACAAACCTTGACATGTAACTCCTTTCCAGGGAGGCACTGCGGGAAGAACGGTCTGTTATCATTGATGTCTGTGACTGAGACGTAAACCGCCATGGTGGCATTTCGCGGTGGGGAGCCACGGTCTGTCACTAGCACGGTCATCTCATGGTGTACCCGATGCTCACGGTCCAATGCTATCCAACTGATCAACTCGCCTGAGGAACACGGAGTAGAACAAAAAGACACAGACCCTGTGTTCTAGATGCACCAAATCAAAAATAGTTTGCAGGAGGAAAACCAAATATAAATATTTGAGCAAATGTGCAACTTCCAAGCAAGACCACGTAATAGTAGTTTGGCTTTATGGTTACCAATGAAACCACTTTTCAGAAATTGCTCCTGAAAGTGCCACTTTAAATTTGTTATTCTTTGTATTTCAAATTATCTACTATCAACCATTTGAACTTTAAAAAAATGAATTTATATTTATGTATGCAGACATTTACTTTTATCTCACAAAATACACGCATAGCAATGGATAGTAACTTCCTGAGTAACTCAGTGCTTGAGAAGACTTATTTTATTCTTGTCTAGAACTACACTATCTCTGGTAACTTCCTTCATGTGTCAGCCATGACCCAGGCATGGTATCATCCCTGCTTCACCTTATTGCCAATAGCTTTGGGTAGACAAATGTTTTCTCAGCCCATCTCCTGCTGCAAAGCTTCGCCAAGTACTGATTTCCTTACCACCAATGAAAAATTTACTTGCAAGAAAGTAAACATAAAGCAGCTACCAGCAATCATTCCTATTGCTAAGAATTTTTTCCTCCTAATACAATTAAAATGACATTGTATTTGTTCAAAAGTTGAAACAAGGATAAAAATAACTTCACATTTGGGTAAGTCACTGAATTGGTGAGGTTAAATGTAGTGTTTACTAAAACTGTTTACTATATAAACTAAATTTATGTAGCTTACTCAAATTGGAATTTTAATAGAGATCATATGCACAACTGCATTTTTAAAGTTTCAAACTGTCTCCTCTGAATGGCAAACATTTTTATTTCATGAACCAACTCTGAGAGGCAGCAGCTATTTGGAGGCCAGGGATGGAGAAGACGAGCAGCTCAGCCTAGATGGAGTTGGTGTGGGTAACCCAGGGCACATCAAGAATGAGTGCCTCCATGCATGGTAAAGAAACAGAACTCTGAACTTAAGCCACTTGCTTAGAGCCATACAACAAAATCAAGAATGGACATTCGACCTTCTTAATCTGGGAACTGGACTAATGGCAGGAGAGGGAAGATCATGGGAGAGCAAACAGTTTGCATATTTCAGAAAAAAAGAACGACCAAGTCAAGTAGAAGACCTAGAAAACCCTATGGAAGTCAAGGGCAAGCTGGGCCATGCTGTATACTTGAGTGGGGTCTGTGCCTTGCAGAAGGGGTCTCATCCTAGGGAGTGCATGGTAGAACTGCAGCTTGCCCCATTGTTGGCAAGTCTTGTGCCCAGGGAAAATCTTCATCTGGCAAGAAAGGGACACCTTCTCCTCATCACACAATAGGGTCTTGAGAACAAAGGTTTGAAATTCATCAGAACTGAATTCGAACTCTGTCCTACTAAAGAGTGGCAGCATTGTTTACACAGGTTATGGCATAGATGATGCCACCCAGAAATGCACAAAGTGGTCACCTCCTCTTACCTCCCACTAGCTGCAGGGCCTTGGGCACCATACTTGAGCGATCTGAGTCTCAGTCTCCCAGGCTAAATATTTGCAGTGTAAACATATGCCATTGTAAGGATAAAATAAAGGCCTTGCAAATTTATAGAATATAAATTTTAAAATTTAATGACTTTTAATATTTAATTTCTTAATTAAGACTTAAAAAATCCACTGTAATTATTCCCTTTTTCCCTCTTGCTAAAATGAGAATGGGGGCATTTGTTCCTAGAGTGATTTTGCAATCTCAGTTAATGGATTGGTTTCTAGTTTTAAACTGGTGACACTTATATTTCATAAAATATATTTTGACATTTTCTTTAATGTCTGCAAATGAAAAAGAATGGTTGGTGAAAAAAATTAGCCTTTGCTCAAAGTTGTATCCAATCCAGTTCTGACTATCCCACTAGATTCAGAATAAAGTCATATATTGGTAATATGTGGGTGTGAGGTGAGAGAAGTGTGAACCATTATAGGTGAAATGTTATTCCATTTTTACTTCATTTAAAAATTTCACAATAACTACAATCAAATACCATATTTTCTAAAAATCCTAATTTTAATTGCTTGTTTGTACTAATGCTGTGCCTAACATTTGAGTTTTCTCAATACTGATTTTAAAGGAATAGGTGGAAGCTACAAAATGCTACCTGTATTAGGGTTCATCTTGAAGACTTTTCCATCAGACAAAAGGAAATACAATAGCTGTCCATTCTTTCCAGAGTCCGTGTCAATAGCTGTAATTTTGCCTATTACCCCCTGGGGAACAGGGCTCTCTTCGACTTTCAAAAACAACACATCATGTAAGAAGGTAGGGGAATTGTCATTCTCATCCAGGACATGAACAATTACTGAAGTGCTCACATTTTGTAATAATCTATCCTCCGGGATCCAAGCAGACACTCTAAAATGATATGTTTGTGTGGATTCATAGTCAAGCTGTCGCCGCAGATAAATCCAGCCTGTGTAAGGGTGGATTCCAAACACAGCGGCGTCTATGCTGGGTTCCAGCCAGTACCTAAGCTGTGAGGCCTCACGCTGTGGGCCCCGTGGGTGTGCCTGTACTTGCAGTATTTGTGTCATCAGTGAGAGAGACTCACTAACTTCCACTTGATAGACCAGATGTTCAAAAGTCAAGGATGGACTTTGCTCTTGCTTCTCGACAACTACTGTCAACTCGAGCAGGGATGCCCGAGGAGGCATGCCTAGGTCCTCGGCCATGAGAGTTAGCCTGTGCTTCTTTAGCAAGCCCCCTCCCAGACTCCCATTGAGGTACACCACGCCAAGGTTCCTGTCAATGGCAAAGATGCTTGGACTCCGGCTTGCAATGGTGTATCGGATGAATCCGTTCAAGCCGCTGTCTTTGTCTTCTGCATGTGCAAGGTACAAGGCTGTGCCCGGCAGGGTGGTCTGGGATATATGAATCTCATCGGACGTGGAGAGAAAGGCTGGGAAATTGTCATTGACATCTATCACAGTTATGTTGACTTCTGTGCTGCTGCAGGCTGGGGAGCTGCCAAGCTGCGCCTGCACTGTGAGCACAACCACGGGCTGTGTTTCGTGGTCCAGGGGCTTCTGGGTGCGAATAGTGCCCAGCCACGGGTGAATGAAGAACTTTCCATCTAGATCACCAGAAGAAATTCTGTAAAAGATTGGTTCTGAGGAATCTGAAAAGAGAGAGAGAGGGAGAGAGCAATCACTGGATGTCAAAAGAATGTAATTACTGGAACCTCTGAAATTGAAAATATTAATAGGCTGGGTGCAGTGGCTCAAGCCTGTAATCCCAGCACTTTGGGAGGCTGAGGCAAGAGGATTGCCTGAGCCTGCAGGTTTGAGATCAGCCTGGACAACATGGTGAGACCTTGAATCTACAATAAATCAAAAAATTAGCTGGGCATGGTAGCGCGTGCCTGTAGTTCCAGCTACTTGGAAGACTGAGGCAGAAGGATCCCCAGAGCCCAGCGGGTTGACTCTGGGGTGGCCATGAGCACTCCAACCTGGGGGATGGAGTGAGACAGCAACTCAAAAAAAAAAAAAAAAAAGAAAGAAAGAAAATATTAATACAGTCATGTAGAGTATAGTGAAATTTCAGTAAATTGATGGATTGCATATAGCACACTGGTCCCATAAGGTTATAATACTCTATTTTCATTGTACCTTATATGTATTATAAGGTTATAATTTCATTTACTGTGTTTAGATACACAATACTTCCTGTGGTGTTACAATTGCCTGCTGTATGCAGTACAGCGACATGCTGTACAGGTTTGTAGCCTAGAAGCAATAGACTGTACCATAGAGCCTAAGTGTTTAGTAGGTTATTTCATCTAGGTTTGTGTAAGGACACACATCAGTGATGTTTGCACAATGACAGAATTACCTAAGGACACATTTCTCAGAATGCTTCCTACCGTTAAGGATGCCTGACTGTATATGCTACATCTACGGAGAATACTGTGCAATGTCTTATTTCTTCCTCAACTCTCCAAAGCCTGTTGAAAACCGGACACATGGTTTAAGATTTTTTCGACGGACAAAGGGAATGTCCAATAGACAAAAAGCAAGCGATAGGTCGTACTATCTTCCTTCATCCTTCTTACTTTAGATAAAGGGAAAGACATTCAGAAAATAGTTTGGGTATCTTTTTTATATAGCTGAGAAGCCAAGTTATGTTTTGTCAACGTTTCTCTATAACATCTACCTATGAAGGACAAGTACTCTTTTTTTTTTGAGTTGGAGTCTCACTCTGTCGCCCAGACTGGAGTGCAGTGGCCGCTCCTGGCCACTGCAGCTTCGACCTGCTGGGCTCCGGCGAGCCTTCCGCCTCAGCCTTCCGAGTAGCTGGAACTACAGGTGCGCGGTGCCATGCCTGGCTAATTTTTGATTTATTGTAGAGATGAGGTCTCGCCAAGTTGGCCAGGCGGGTCTCGAACGCGCGGGCTCAGGCAATCCACTCACCTCAGCCTCCTAAAACGTGGGATTACAGGCTGAGCCACCAAGCCCGGCTAGGACAAGTACACTTTACAGAGATTAAGGAAAGGAAGGCAGGAAGGAACAGAAGAGGACTGGGAGGAGGACAATCTTCTTGGAGAGCTAATTCACTTCTAGCAATCTATTCTGCAGAGGTACCTCTACAAGTGTGAAAAAGCCACACAAGGCAATTTGCTGAAGTACTGTTTGGACTCGCAAAAAATGTTAAATCATTCAAATTGTTTGTAAAAGGGAAATGTTTAAATAAAACATATCTAAGTTGAAATACTAGGCAACTTTTTGAATGAAACAGAATGACATACAGTTGTCTGGAGAGTTGTTCAGTATATGCTAATTGAAGAAAAGGGCAGTTGTATGAAAACAAATACAGTAGGATGCATTTTTGAAAAAAATTAAAAATTAGGTGTGTGTGTGTTTTGGTGAGTGGGTTATAGGAGACATACACTTTGTAGACCTTATAACTTTTCTGTATTGTTTTAAACTTTCTTTTAAAAATACCTATTACTTTTATGATCATAAAACAATTGTGGGATGGACAGAAACAATGTTGAAAGAACAAAAAGTAGGCCACAGTTTGTACTATCTCATTTCCTTCATCTTGCATGAAGAGGAGGAAAGAATTATTCAAGATAGTGCAACCCAAGAAAATGCAGGAAATGTTCCAATAATGAGCTTCAGTGCAGCATAAGAAGTACTTACTCAAGGGCTCGCTTGCTTTCACTGTTCCAACAGGACTGTCTTCAGGCACATCTTCATAAACTGAGAAAGTATACTTCGGCCTTTCAAATTCAGCAGGTGCCAGACTCGTCTGGAGAATGTGTACAGTGACGTCAGCATTAATGACAGCTGTGAGCCCACCACCATCTCGAGCACAGACCATCAACACAAGCGTCATAGATTCCAAATGACTAAGAGTTGATGCTGAATAAATAATTCCTGGAGAGGGGAAATAAAAAATTAATTAACAGATTACATGCAATAAATACTGATGCGCAATAGTAACACCTGATCTGTTAAGTTTTCTGTAATGTTTAGTTGTATATGTCGACTTAACTGGACCATGTGCTGTTCAAATATCTTGTCAAATATTATTCTGTGTGTGTGAGGGTGTTTTGGATGAGATTAACAGTTAAATCTGTAGACTGAGCACAGGTTATCCTCCCTGGTGTAGGTGGGCCTCATTCAATCCATTAAAGGCCTAAATAGAACAAAAAGCTATCCCTCTCCTGAGCACAAGGGAATTCTTCTTGCCTTTAAACTAGGACATTGGGGGATTTTTTTGCCTTTAGACTCAAACTGAAACATTAGCTCCTTCTGCTGGACTTCAGTCTGGAACGATAGCATTGGTTCTCCTGGCTCTCAGGACTTTGGACTCAGACTGGAACCACACACCAGCTATGCTGGGTTCAACATGCTGACTCAGCCTGCAGATCTTGGGGTCTCGCCAGCCTCTATAATCACGTGAGCCAATTCCTATAATAAATCTCCTCATTCATACCCACATCCACAAACAGCCTATTGGTTCTGTTCTCTGGAGAACTCCAACTGATACATCTATTTTCCAAAGAACTTCAGTGTATTGCAAATTCCATTAAGTAAGCAATATTTTCCAAGCACACAAACATCTTGGAAGTTCATCAACTCATCAGAAAAAAAATGTAAACTGCGTTCCCTTTTTAGGCCTTAATGCCATGTCACCAGCCCAAGAAGACAGAAAAACAGAGTATATCCCATAGTCCAATGTATTCTGATATGAACGAACATGGGATTGTAAGGTGGTTACAACCTTCCCAGGTGCCAGAATCCCAAGTCTACAAGATGAAACTAAAATTTTATCTTCTGAGGTATTTGATGTCTGCCCTGAACTAGACCATGTAGTGTATCTCTCTTTTTCAACTGATTCCACTCTATTTTTGTTGATGAGAAGTTGTCTGTAAGAAAATGCCAGTAAATGCTAAAACTATGGGGACAAGAGTATAGAGTATATAAAAGGAGGAGGTGTTTATGATTCAGTTGGGTAGAGATTCAGCAATGCTGACAAAACTAATTAATCAATATTGTTAATTCTACCGTTTAATATGCTAGTTTTAAAATATAAAATAGATCTAATATACCAAATTTAAGAAATGGACCAGGTAGTTTTATTTAATGAGAAAGAAAACATGTGCAAACTTATTAAGTGAATTTACATACAAGTAAATATGGCTGACCTTTATAAAGTTTGGCCAGCCATAACGATTAGTTAAGTGAATGAATATTGCAGTCTTTGCCAGTTTATGAGAAGCTGGCAAAAGCATCAGGAATACCAGTTTTCTAGGCATTAAAAAGGTGATATTCACTTGATTTCTTTCTTTTTTAAATACAAACTTTAACTCTTACAACATCAAATACTTGTTTCTATTTCTATTAGATATTTAATGGAAAATGTCATATTTTTCTTTGGCATAACTGGACCTGCTCCAAACATAACATTCTCATTTTCTTTCTTGCTAGCTTTATTGTTAGAATTGACAAATAAAATTGTATAAGCTTAAGCTGTACGGTATGACATTATACGTGTGTGTGTATATATATACTAGCATTTTTAAATCATAAAAAATTGGTTGCAAACGGGAAATGTTTAAATGTTTAAGGAGACATACACTTTGTATACCTTATAACTTTTCTGTACTGTTTTAAACTTTCTTTAAAAAATACCTATTACTTTTGTGATCAGAAAACAACTGTGGGACGGACAGAAACAATGTTGAAAGAACAAAGAGCAGGGCACAGGTTGTACTATTTTGTTTCCTTCATCTTGCATGAAGAGAAGGAAAGAATTATTCAAGATACCCACACACACACACACACACACACACACGTGCGTGCATATGTATGTGCATAAATTTTTAAACCATTTTGATAGTTCTTTATCTAATTATCTAAGTAATTTTCTTCATGGTTCCTGTCTCCTGAACATGTTTCAAGTTATCATCTCAATTTTAACACCCAAAGTGAACACATGCTTCCAGATATACCATCTGACAATTACAAAGCAAGGTATAAACACTCTTAATTAGAAAACTGAAAAATACTAACATATTCAACTATTAATATACTAGCTTTTATCAGTCATATTAAAATTTGAATTCAGACTAGTTAGGTGGTCCACAAAGCGCTTAATATTTACCACACAGATTACTAGGTCAGACCTTTCCTATCTGCTATTGGTGAAGTTTTTTTAAAAGAATATTTTTTCATTATTACAGTCTATACTTGATTTTAAAAAATAAAACCCAAATAATACAAAAGTGTCTATAGAAGAAATAAAAAAGTCTCTGTACCTCCAACCATTCTCACTCCCCAAGTATACAGTCTTCCAGAACTACTAATTCAATTCTAATTACAGAGAGATTTTTAAAGATTTCATGTCGCCCCCTTGATGATTATGATAAGAAAAAAATTAACATCTACCTCAACTAGACACAACCTAGTCGTCCTGCCTCTAGACTGATTCCTTCTAAATTACTTTTTTACCTGTGATTAAATAGTCTTCTTGAAAGTCAAATCTAGACATATCAATGTCTCCTCATGTTTTCAGGGTAACCTTCAAATGCCTTATCGAAACATACCAAGCCATTCATAAATTGCCCGTTCTTCCTCTCTGCAGTTCCATCTCGTGACTCTCTGCATACTACCTTTTGCTCTAGGCAAAGTGAGCTACTTACAATTTCCAGAATAGACCTTGTTCTTTTCCTTTGGATTGCCGTACCCTCTTCCAAGAACAACTTCATCGTATTCCATTTGATTTCTAGTCATATTTTGAAGTACAGTTCAAGTGTCACTTGGTGCAGCTAGCCTTCTCTTTTCCTCTACTTAGTTCTAATTACCATTTTTCTGTGATCCCACAGTGGCCTGGGACATGAGCCTATTAAAAAACCTGACAAGCGGCACTTTACTTATCAATTTGTATCTTTCTTATCATTCATTCATTTATTCATTAATTTACTCAGTGATTTATCAATAAAACTGTAAGACATTTTGAAAATATATGAACAATTTAGTATCCATAATAAATAGAGAGTTCTGCAATCAAGATGAAAAATACCAAGTAAAAAAAAAAGTAAGGGGCCAGATTCAGTGGCTCAGCCTATAATCCCAGCACTTTGGGAGGCCAAGGCAAGTGGATTGACTGAGCCCGCAGGTTCAAGACCAGTCTGGCAACTTGATGAGACCTCGTCTCTACATTAAATCAAAAAAATTAACCTGGCATGGTGGTGCATGCCTGTAGTTACAGCTACTTGGAAGGTTAAGGTGGAAGGATCGCCTGAGCCCAGCAGGTCGAGGCTGCAGTAGCCAGACTGTGACATTGCACTCCAGCCTGAGCAACAGAGTGAGACTCCGACTCAAAAAAAAAGTATAGTAGTTTAAATAAGAAATAATTCATTTGTAATAAATATAATAATGCCCAAACTCACTAATAATAATTAAAATGCAAAATTAAAGCAATTACCTCATTTTTACCTCTAATGTTTCCTAAAACTTTTAAGTGATAATACCCAGAGTTATAAAAGATGTGGTATTTATATACTATCCAAAAAGGTACTTTGGCGATATTAACCAAAATTTTGATTGTTCATATTCTATACTATTGTTCATAGTATAGAAATCTACCCTATACCTGCATAAGCACTCAGAAATAAGTTAACAGGATGTCATTTGCAACACTGCAAATGATCTTAATATTCACCAAGAAAAGAATGAATGGTTTGATCTATTGTGGTATATTAATACAATAGAATACTATGTAGCATAAACAAAAGAAGTAAAAGTATGTTTCCACTGACAAATACTTTACACGCTATATTTTATATGAAAAAGTTGTCAAAGTGAATCTAAAGTATCGATTCATTGTGTTAATATTGCATGTATTCATCAGAATTTCCCAGAGAAACAACCCAGTAGGAGATGATAGATAGATGGATAGATAGACAGATAGATAGATAGATAGATATAGATATAGAATAAAATTTGTTATGAGGAACGGGCTGAGATTATGAAGACTGAGAAGTTCCATGATCTGCCCTCTGCAAGCTGCGGTCTCAGAAAAGCTGGTGGTGTAGCTTGAAGGTCTGAGAACTAGCTAATCAATGATGTTGCTTCTAGTCTGGTTCTGAAGGCCTGACAACCAGAAACACTGAGGGCAAGAGAAGATCAATGTCTAGCTCAAGTTGTCAGGTAGGGAGCAAATTCAACCTTCTTTCTTTTTGCTCCATTCATGCCCTCAATGAATTAGATTATCACCACCCACACGAGGGAGAGCCTCTGCTTACTCAGTTCACCAATAAAATGCCAATCTCTTTGAAAACTCCCACACAGACATACGCAGAAATAATGTTGACCCAGATATTTGGGTGTCTTGTGAACCATTCAAGATAACACATAAAATTAACCATCACACTGAATAAACATCTTTAAAATGACAGTATATCTCTAATGTGAAAGAAAAATTCATGAAATCCTACTGAGAATGTTTGATTATAGAATAATATGTAAATTATAAGCATAAACACCGACACCTATACAATGTGGTACATACAAAACTAACTATGTGTCACGGAAAATATGAAATGAACTGAACAATTGTAAGAGAGGTCATTTTTGTGGGTTGTGATTATGGGACAGCTCACTGTCTACTTCTAACATTCCTATAGTTTAAAAATATTTAACAATTAGCATATGTTAACTTTGTAAATAGAAAATATATATTAAAGATATTCAGAAAAAGAAGATGTGTTGTTACCAAATATTTATGCATATATGTATGTATGTCTGTATTTATATTACCTTTCTTTAGAGCTATGAAGGAAATTTGTACATTATAGTGAAGAGTTAGATTAGACATTATAATATGTGACTTTAAAAATAATTCCAAGCTGGGCTCGGTGGCTCAGTCTGTAATCCTGGGCTTTGGGAGGCTGAGGTGGAGTGGATTGCCTGAACCTGTGGGTTCGAGACCCGCCTGGGCAATTTGGTGAGACCTCATCTCTACAATAAATCAAAAAATCAGCCGGGCATGGTAGCGCATGCCTGTAATTCCGACTACTCGGAAGGCTGAGGCGGAAGGATCGCTGGAGCCCAGCAGGTCGAGGCTGTGGTGGCCGGGAGCAGCCACTGCACTCCAGTCTGGGCGACAGAATGAGACTCCAACTCAAAAAAAAGAAAAAGAAAAAGAATTCCAGAAGTCACTTCTTGAAAAATAGAATACCTATTCTATAAAAGTTTCAAGGATGAATATCAAGGAAACAGCAAGTTAAAACATTTAAAAAAGTTATTACCACTAAATGAATCCCTGAGGTTAAGATAAACATACTCTGGAGAAACTGTCTATATAAAACTGTTTGAACATGAAAAATAATGTTTAAAATATTCAAATTACTAGCAAAATGTGCCCTAGTAACACATGGTAAACTGTGAAGTCTAATAAAATTAATATCTATATAATATACACTCTGCTATTTAAAAGTATTCTTCCTGGTAAAATCATTTAGTATCTAATGATCTTCCCTCCATATCTTCAAATTAGCATTTTTAATTGTGATAGTTTAATAAAAGGTTGGGAGGATAATAATTTAACAATCGGGAGCAAGAAGCAAGACATAAATTACATGACATTTTTGTTACCTTATCCTTGGTACCACCTAGGATGCTATTCCAGGTAGTAAAATTAAGTTTCTTGTTATCTCAAAAAAAATTTTGCTGATGAATGTCCATATTATTTGTCAAATTAAAAGTTCTCAATAAATTTGAAGGAATAGAAAAAAGGAAGAGAGAGACACTATGTCAAATATAGAAAATTATACAAATAAAACTGTCAAGAAGCTTCACCCTGAAGAAATATGTACAAACTGATCAATAACTAAGTGTAATGACAACAAAAATCTATAAGTAAATGCTGTCAGTTGTAGGTGAGCAGGAGATAAAGTTTAAAGAGACATGTAAACAGTAAACACAACACAAACATTATCTATTATCAAGAGGGCTTAGCTTAGAACCTTGCATATAGTCGTCATTCAAAAAAAAATGAATTTATATGGGGCAGGGTCAGGAGCCCTACATCCAAAAGGAAGTGCCTTATTGAGAAAACAACAACAGCGTTCAAGCATATTAAAAACAAATAACATCATATGAACACCTGACCATAAAAAGTAAATCTCAGAGTTTTTCACTAAATTTTGGGGAAAAAATGTCCATTATCATATTCCTCCATTTTTCTTTTCACAGAAGTCTCAGAAGTAGACACCAAAACTCTAGGGTTGTCTGCAGTAAGGTATATCCAGAGTATACACACACAACACACATATATACACACATTAATATATACACATACATGATACAAATATTATATATACATACATACATATGTATGTGTGTAAGACATACCAATCTACCAAAATTCTCCTTATAATAATGGGATAATAAATATTATGTGAACAAGAAACCTGTTAATTGATTGCTGAGTTCCAAGTAATTTTTCCATAACATCAGAAACTCCACTAATTTCTGTGTATGTCCAGAGACCTAACTATTCAACCTACCATGGTTTCCCCTTCCTCACCTATAAATTAGGATGGTGACAATTTTCCCAGTAATATCAGACAGAATTAGTTTCTGTCTGAAGTGTTCAATTCTTATTTCCAGTAGCCCCAAATTTTAGTCTTTTTAATTTTGAGTGTTTTATTAAATGAAAGCATTATACTCAACTAAGTATATCTTCCAAAGGAAATTGACATAATAGGTAAATGCCCTTGTCTTTGAAATTGAAGGGCTTTCTTGCACTGAAACAGGCACACCTCGGAGATATTGTGGGTTTGGTTCCAGACCACTGCAAGAAGGTAAATTTTGCAATAAAGTGAGTGACACAAATGTTTTTATTTTCCAATACATATAAAAGTTATGTTTACACGATGTGGTAGTCTATTAAGTGTGAAACAACACTGTATCTAAGAAAACAACATATGTACTTTAATTTTTAAAATATTTTATTGCCTAAAAATGCAAACAAACAATCATCTGAGCGTTCAGTGGGTTGTAATCTTGTTGCTGGTGGAGGGTGTTGCTTTGATGTTAATGGTTGCTGACTGTTCATGGTGGTGGTTACAGGAGGTGTGGATGGCTGTGGCAATTTCTTAAACTAAGACAAAAATTAAGTTTACCACATTAATTAGCTTTTTCTTTCATGAAAGAGTTTCCTGTAGCATGTGATGTTTTATAGCATTCTACCCACAATGACACTTCTAAAATAAAGCTGTCCTTCTCAAACCCTGCCACTTCTTTATCAACTAAGTTTATGCAGAAATCTAAAATCCTTTGTCAGCAGTGTCCATAGCATCTCCACCAGTAGATTCTATCTCAAGGAACTACTCTTTTTGCTAATCCATAAGAAGCAACTCCTCATCTGTTTAAGTTTTATCACGAGATTGTGGCAATTCAGTCATATCTTCAGGTTCCACTTTTTTTTTTTTTGAGTTGGAGTCTCATTCTGTCACCCAGGCTGGAGTGCAGTGTCATGCTCATGGCCACTGCAGTCTCAATCTGTTGGGCTAAGGTGATCCTTCCACCTCAGCCTTCCAAGTAGCTGGAACTACAGGCACTCACCACCACACTCAGCTAATTGTTTTTTCTTATTATTTATTGTAGAGATGAGGTCTCACCAAGTTTCCCAGGCTGATCTCGAATCCCTGGGCTTAGGCAATCCTCTTGCCTTGGCATCCCAAAATTAGAATTACAGGCTTGAGCCACCATGCCTGGCCAGGTTCCACTTCTAATTCTAGTTCTCTTGCTATTTCTACCACATCTGCAGTGACTTTCTCCACTGAAGTATTGAACCCCTCAAAGTCTTTATTGACAGTTGGAATCAACTTCTTCCAAACGCTTGTTAATATTGATATGTTGACCTCCTCTTATGAGTCACAGATGTTCTTAGTGACATCTAGAATGGTGAATCTTTTCAGGATTTACATTGCCTAGATTCATCAGAGGAATCACTCTCTATGACAGTTTTAGCATTATCAAATCTTTTTCTCAAATAATAAGACCTGAAAGTCAAAATGACTCCTTGATCCACAGTCTACAGATGGTGTGTTAGCAAGCCTTAAAAAGAAACAAAAACAAAACTCCTTATACATCTCTCAAGTGACCAGGTGGATTGTCAATGAGCAGTAATGTTTTGAAAGTAACAATTTTTTTTTTCTGAGCAGTAGCTGTCCACAGTGGACTTAATAAATTCAGAAAGCCATATTCTAAACAGACGTGATTTCATCTAGGCTCTGTTGTTCCTTTTACAGAGCACATGCAAAGTAGATTTAGCATAATTTTTTAGGTCCCTAGGATTTTCATTGAGCGTTGGCTTCAACTTAAAGTCACCAACTGCATTAGCCTCTAACAAGAGAGTTGACCTATCCTTTGAAGCTTTGGAGCCAGGCATTGATTTCTCCTCTATAACTATGAAACTCCTAGATGACATCTTTTTCAATAGAAAGGTGTTTTATGTACATTGAAAATCTGTTGTTTAGTATAGCCATCTTCATCAATGATCTGATCTAGATGTCCTGGATAACTTGCCACGGTTTCTCCATCAGCACTTGCTGCTTCACCTTGCACGTTTATGTTATAGAGATGGTTTCTTTCCTTCAACCTCATGAACCACCCTCTGTTAGCTTCCAGCTTTTCTTCTGCAGCTTCCTCACCTCTCTTAGACTTCACAGAATTGAAGAGAGTTAGGGCCTTGCTCTGGATTAGACTTTGGCTTAAGGGGATGTTGTGACAGATTTGATCTTTTACCCAGACCACTCCATATCAGCAAGAAGACTGTTTCCCTTTCTTATTATGCATTTATCCACTGGAGTACACTTTTAATTTCCTTCAATAACTCTTCCTTTGCATTCACAACTTGGCTGTTTGGCACAAGAGGCCGAGTTTTCAGCTTGCTTGGCTTCCGGCATACCTTCCTCACTAAGCCTAATCATTTTTAGCTTTTTGATTCAAAGTGAGAAACGTGCAATTCTTGCTTTCCCTTGCATACTTAGAAGCCATTGTAGGATTATGAATTACCCTAATTCTAATATTATTGTCTCTCAGGGAATAGGAAAGACCAAGGAGAGGGAGAGAGATGAGGGAACGGTTGATTAGTGGTGCAGTCAGAGCACACGTTACCATTTATCAAGTAAGTTCACCATTGTCTATGGCGTGGTTCATAGCATCCCCAAGCAATTGCAATAGCAACATCAAAGCTTACTGATCAGAGATTACCATAACAGACATCATCATAATAAAAAAGTTTGAAATATTGTGAGAATTATCAAAATACAACATAGAGACACAAAGTGTCCACAACAACCATCCATGTGCTTTTGAAAAAATGCCACCGATAGACTTGCTTGATCCACAAACCTTAGATTGAGTACAAAACACAGTAACTATGAAGCACAAGAAAGTGAAGTACAATCAAGCAAGGTATGCCTGCAAAAAATAGGCCACACTTAGACCTGAGCATGGCTGCTGGGTCATTTGTCAGTAAATTCTCATGTTTATGCATTCAGTCTCCTCATGTTTTTTTGAACATATAACTTTTTTTTTTTCCGTTCAGATTTGAATCAGAGAAACAAAAGCCACATTGGGAATTTTAGAGTCTAGTTAATTAAAGGAAGTGATTACACGGGTAAGGGAAAGCTAAAAAAAGAAAAAAGGAAGACCAGAATGATGAATAGTAACTGCAAGATGCTATGACCTTCTCTTGGGTTGGAGAAGCAAAAAGAAAAAAAGTGACCTTACCACCTCTACCAAAATTAAGACAGTGAGTCACGGTAGGGGCTTGAAGCCCTGAGGTGGCACTGCATGGCTGGAATTCATAGCTCTGAGGTACCTCCATGCAGCCAACACTTAAGTGTCTTGAGGGTGGCCTGCAGCCACGTTCCAACCTTCAAAAGGCACAGCCCACCACGGGCTGAGATCACCATGGTGTGGCTGCTATAACCTGAAGAGTCATGGTGAGGGCTGTGCTGACTGCCCAAGGGGGACTTACATGGCTGGTACAGCTGATGGTAGCATCCCTGAGGGGTATAGCTAGAGCCAAAGACTTGGGAGAGATGCTGAGCAATTTCCTGCCAGTGCTTCCCACTGGCAGAATCTATCTGGAAGCCGGTTGCAGTGGTATCTTGGGGCACCAGCACCCATCTGGCAGTGCTTTCTCCCAAGATGTCCAGGTCTTAACTCTGCTGGACATACCCGTTAACACTAAGTTTTGAGGCACCAAACTTTACCTCAGTTCCTCCAGCCTAGGAGTGATAGGTACTTCTGACGTGTTAACCTTAACCTCCATCTCTTTTTCACCATCTCTTTCTCCCATTAGCTACTGAACCAACTGTCCATATTAAATTATTTCTGTTACTATCAACATTGTTTCTGTTTTCCTGACTGGCACAGGTCTCACCTAATTCTGACTGGTGTGACTTGAGTTACTAGTTAGATGAAATACTCACTATGGCCTGAAGGAATGTGGTGCTTGATTGATGTGACCTTGTTCACATGTCATTATTCTCCAAGCAAATTGCACCACCTGTATAAAATAGGCTCTTGTTACTCTCTATCTAAACTCCTCAGTTGTGTCCTTCATAAATCCTATCACAACCTACAGGTATTCTGTTTTCCTATTTGGCCCCTCTACAACGTAAGGCCCATGAGGGCAAAGATGATATCTGTCTCATTTACCATTAACCAACCAGGGCCTGCCAAGTTCAGAGAAGGTGCTCACTAATTATTGTTGAATGGATGAGCAAATGAGCAAATACACCAATCTGGAAAAAGTCACTGCTTGACTTTAATCACAAGGATTATAAAAAAATGAAAGATGTCTTAGCCCATTTGGCTGCTATAGCAAAAATACCATAGACTGTGTGGCTTAAACTACAGAAATTTACTTCTCACAGTTCTGGAGGCTGGGAAATCCAAGATTAAGATGCCAACAGACCAGGGGTCTGGTGAGGTCTGTCCTCCTGATTTGTAGACCATTATCTTTTTGTTGTTTGCAGACTATTATCTTCTTGTCGTAGCCTCAACATGGCAAAGGAAGCAATCTCTACTCTGTCTTTTTTTTTAAGGACATTAATACCATTATGGGAACTCTACCCTCATGACCTCAATTAAGCATAATTAACTCCCAAAGACCGCATCTCCTAATACCACCCCACTGAGGGCTAGAGTTTCAACATATGACATTTGGAGAAGCACAAACATGTAGTCCATAACAGAAGAGTAATGTGGTGGCAGAATTCCAGATCAAATATTAAAATTTGTATACATCTGTAACAACTAAGAGTTTGTGGAACCAATGCAAGAATAGATAATTGGACAGAATTGATAGCCCCTAAAAGGATGCTGAAGACGGGTGTTTATGGAGGAGTTCTACTTCCTAATTTATTATATTTAAAAATCAGTAAATTAAGAGAAAAAAAACACTCCACAACTCTGTCCCACACAGCATAAAGCTTCAGTGTGTAAAATCAATGTTGTGTCATTGGTGACATGTCCTAATCTAATTGATATATATATAATTAATTTTAATACATTACACTTGAATTCCACCCTATTTCTATTAATAAAGGAAGTCGCCAGACAGGTGCCTATGTAATCCTTCATGTTTAAAACAGAATTCATGGGACTCTGAAAAGTCATCTATTTATTGGGCTGACTCAACTTAAGGCCACACAGACCTGTCCCTGACTTTCATGTTTAAATAACTATAGAAAAATAATTCTTAACTTCTAGATACCCATCAAGAAGTCTGCCTCAGATTTAACCCTAATTATTTGCATGTTAAGTCCCCTTTTCTCTCTCTTGATATAGAGTATTTACCATAACAAACCACAAGGTTTATATCACAAAACCGAATACTAAAAATACTCTAACTTTCAATGAAAATACCTGACTTGAGATTTGTATGTATCCAACTCTTGTTAGCATGCTTAGGATAATACATTAATGATATTTCTGTGACGGTTAAATGACCACTTTAATAAGAGATATATTTAGAGCATATAATCATTATTTCAGATTTCAAATATTGATCTCCCGCCTGCATCCAGTATCCCATAATCAAATCAGTGAAGTTTATGATGTTTTTCATCTTTGCCTTCAAATGGTATGAACGTTAGATTTCTTATTCTATATGCTAATTTTATGTTCTCAGTGCTAGGTTTATTTGTGAATGATTTGATTATATCTTAGCAGAACCAGACTTTCTACATAAATCTGGCATCTTAGATATTTTCCATATGGGGATCTGCTTCCTAAAGGCAAAGCAAGAAATCTATTCTTTAGAATTAACAGAATAATAAGGGAGCATGGAGTCAGATCCTTGGAGTCAGATCTAGCTGGGTTCAAACCTGATTCTATCAATCCAGTTTGACCTTGAACAATTTCTTAAATCCTATAAGCTCCTGTAGTCTTTAAACAGACTATAGAATCAGACTAATACCATGTACTGTACAGAACTAACTTATGTGAGAATACAATTAAATCATATATATAAACAAAGCACTTAGCATATGGTCTGACATATACTGAATCCTTAAGACAATACTAGTTCCCTTTTCTCCCTCCTAAGGACTACAAGGCATTAAGTGGGTAATTCTGGGTATCAGGGAAGAATCAATAGTGAGTAATTAAAAAATCTTTTGGGGAAAGGGAAAGTTGGGAGAACTGGAGTAGCATCAATATTCCACTGCAAGGAGTGTATAAAAAGTCCATCAGAAGAGTTTACCAATGGCTCATCTGTCCTGTCATCCTGCCACAAAGGAGCATTTCAGAGGAAGATGGACTCACCCTCATTCAAACGTGTCTAGCTCCCTCTATTTAAATGGTAAAGGTTTCTAAACCGGTCCTGGATAGATGAATATTTTTCATTTGTCCACAACTGTGGATGTGGGGCTTACAATGTGTTCCCCTAAGTTAACATGCCAAAATCTTTTAAATAATCCTGCCTGATGTTATGAATCCAGATACTGACACAGGTCGCCCACATGGGTTTAGATTGATAGCTCCTCTTTGGGGAGGCCCAAATACATTCCCAGCCGACATGGACGGAGGACCAGAAACTTTAGTTATTGTTCTCTCTCACCTTGTCACCTGAAGTACTCAGATAATTTGAGAGAATTAACTCACACAACCCACCACCACTAACAGACCTAACCATTGTTTCAAATGTTCAGTTAGAAGGAAAATCATTTTCTTGAAGCAAAACAAACAAACAAAATCTTGAAGACCTGGACTTGAGAGTGGTTCTTTCACTTGAGCTTGTAAAAGTTGTAAATGTATCAATAATAGAGAATAGAATCAAGTACAACCATTATTTCAAGACAGCATAATTTTAGAAAGGCAATTGTCCCTCTAAAGTTTATACCCACCTGGAACCTCAGAAAGTGACCTTATTTGGAATAGGGTCTTTGCAGATATAATTAGTTCAGGATCTCAAGTTAAAATCATCCTCATTTTAAGGAGGACTCAAAATCCAATGACTGCTGTCTTGATAAGAAGAAAGGACACAAGAAGACACCCTGACACAGAGAGGACAGCTATGTAAAGATGGAGCCAGAGTTTGGAGATATGCAGCCATGAGCCAAGGAATACCAAAGATTGCCAGCAGCCACCGGAAGCTGAGGGGGAGGCATGGGATGGAGGGTTTCTCTCTCAGAGTCCCCAGAAGGAACCAACTCTGTCATCGCCTTGAT